AAACAAACTTCCTACTGGTGTGCAGTGGTGAATGCCTATAATCCCAGTGGCTTGAGAAGCAAATCAGTGAGATCCTGTCTCTAAATAAAAAACAAAATAGGGCTGGGGATATGGCTCAGTGGTTGAGTGCCCCTGAGTTCAATTCCGAATAAAAAAAAAAAAATATTAAAATTCTCTAAAAAAAAAAAATTTAAAAAAAAATTTAAAAAAGAAAGGAAAGTCAGAGAGGTAATAGTTGATACCAACACAGCTCCCAGGATAATGGACAAAAGGGCAGGAGCACTTGATTCTAGGGAAGGCTAGGAGATGTGGCCTCAGACCCTGGGAAGTGCAGGATTGTTGGAGCTAAGTCTGCTGGATGAAGAGGGTATAACCTAGAAGGGTATAAAAAATTCCTGCCAATCATGCATGTGTGTAGTCTGAAGTTTTATTGCCAGCTTGCTAAAGGACCACAGGCTGAAAAGTTAAGATAAGGTTGATCTAGGCTGGTGAGAGCTCCAGAGCCCTGCAGAACCAAAGTAGTTGACTCTATTGCTGGAGGGAGGGCTTCCTGGGAGAGAAGATTTAGGAGGGGAGGGAGAGAGGGTCCAACATTTGTCTTAAAAAGCTCCTGCAGATTAAAATAGAATAAGTGACAGACAAGGCGCAAAATATAAAGTCTGAGAATTTTCTAGAATTAAGGTCAGATATGAATCATCTAACTGAAGAAACTCAGTTGAGGATAAAGAACAGTTCTACTGTTAGAGGCACTGTACTGAAACACAGAACACCAAACAGAGAAGTTAAAAACAACCAGAAATGAAAGGGGAAGGCTTAAAAGAAAGGATCAGCAGCATGACGGATGCCTCAAGACCAAAGGAGTAATTTAAAAATGTAGCTGTCAACGTGGAATTCTGCTTCCAGGTAAACATTCAAAGGTGAGAACAAAAGTGATGATACTTTGCTGGCCTGCCTGTAATCACAGTGACTTGGGAGACTGAGGCAGGGGGATTGCAAGTCTGAGGGCAGCCAAGGATCTTAGGGAGACTGTCTCAGGAAAAAAAAAGGCTAGGAGTGGTTTGGTGGTAGAACGCTGCAAAAATAAAAAATATAAATCAGAGCAGAAATGAATGTAATAATGTTTCATTATTGAAAAATTAGAGAAAAATGAAAAATCAACACACCCATAACTTGGTTCTTTGAAAAGATGAACAAAGTGAGCAGACCTTTAGACAGGTCAAGAATAAAAGAAGACTCAAATTACTAAAACTTGGTGAGGGGTGGTGATTAGAGAATACCATGAAAATTGTAGGCTAGAAAATTAGATAAAATTAACACATGCCTTTTTTTTTTTTTTTTGTACTGAGGATTGAACCCAGGGGCGCTTAACTATAAGTAAGCCATATCTCCAGCCCTTTTTATTGTTTATTTTGAGACAGGGTCTCCCTAAATTGCTTAGAGTCTTGCTAAATTGATGAGGCTGGTCTTGAACTTGCAATCTTTTGGCCTCAGCCTCCCAGACCAGGGGATTATAGGCCTGTACCACCACACTGGGCAAACTGATACATTCCTATAGATTACTTGCTAACAAGTCAACAATTACTTTCCCCAGTTCTTTTTTTTTTTTTTTTTTTTTGTCTGAAAATCCATAATAGTAATATAGATGATTCACAACTCAGGCCTCTAGCCACATTCTGTTCTTACCCTTTGGCTGATAGTGTAGGGCAATGGGACTCCAGACCTGATCATGGGTTGAAGAGGACCTTTACATTCCCTCTGGTCCTCCCTGAGTTTGTTCCATGCCAAAACAGAAAATCATTTTCAAGGAAGTACCAAAGAAACCTGGTCATCCATCTCCTGACAGGCTGTAGAAAAGTTATGGCCTTTTGGTCAAAGCCTTGGCCTTGAGCTATCGCTGGGGGCCTATAAGAGGCATGCTGGACCCCCTGCAGGCATGCAAGAGGCATTCTGGACCCCCTGCTCATCAAGTTGCCTGCCTTGTCAATGCAGACCACCCAGGAGGCTAAAACTTCCTGAGTTCTCAGCTCCACCCTTAACACAAATAGGGTCATCATTCTCTGGCTTCTTTCCCAAGGCCTTTCCCTTCCCTTCCCCTCCTCCCCTCATCAACGGGAAATCTGTCTTCATACCTTTGGCAGGTAGGTGTGGCCTTTTGTAGATGGGAAACAGCAGCAATGAAAATGTCATTTTCTTGTGCCCAGTTCCCTTAAATATTGCCCAATATTAAACTTTTAGTGAGCTGGCCTGTTCATTCATCCAACAAATATTGATTGAGAATCTGTTATGTAGGAGATATTATGTTAGGGAACACAGCTGTACATGGAGATCTCTTGTAATCAAGGGAGATTAACAAAGTTAGATGTTGCAATTAGATACTTTGAAGGGAAAAGTTTAAGTATCATAAACCATATTAATTCTGTAGGTCATAATTAATGGGGGTTTGTCACTACTTTTTATCAATGTGTTGCATATATTAAGGGCATTTCATTTTGTGAAAAATATATTTTTTTGTAGTGCTGCGGATCAAATTGAGGGTTTTGAGCATGCTAAGCAAATACTACAACTAAGCTACAACCCCAGCCCCCATTTTGTGAAAATTTTGCTCGCTATATTATTTGTATTGGAGTTCTGGTGTTTCTTTTTATGCTTTAATGTGGGTTACCGTCAAAAGAGTTTGAAAGAATGGATCAAATACATTTAGGAACAATCAAGAATCTTGCTAAGGGAAGGTTACTTTGAGTTAGAATTTTGACAAGTGGGAATGGGAATAATGAGGGGGGGAAAGAGTATATATATTCAGTGGACACAGAATTTGGGCCCCAAACTGGCACTTGATATGAAGATCAGTTCCATCAGTGACAAGGTAAGGTTTAGTGAGGATGTATGTAAAGAATTTTGTGTGGGGGTGGATACAGAGACTTAGGACCTTTTGGTTTTGAGCAGGTTAATAATTTTCTTTCCCTCGTGGACTACTGATAGCTTATCAGCTTTGGTTGCCCATTGGACTTTGGCAGCTCCACCTTCACTCTGATTGCAAACAAGTGAGAAGCTGTGATAGGCTGGGTGGTGGGGTGTCTTTTCCTTCCTCCCCTCCCCACTATGCACTTTGAGCAGTTTCCTTGACAGATGTCTTACACAGTACTGACACCTTAGCTGGAGATACCATGAGGACTGCTCTTGCCTTAAGAAAGGATTAACACTTCTTTGGGATGTGTATTTTGGGGCTTCATGTTATTTTGAACTATATGTTTGAAGCATTTTGTTTTGCTTTATCTCTGGGTGGGCTTCTCATTAATGCTTAAGGGAAAGGGCCTGATAAGGACTAACCTTTTGTGACAGCCCACTACACTTCAGATTAGAGTCCCATAAGTATGACATAATGTCTGAAAAACACTGAGTCCAACCAAGAAAGATAAATATAAAGGGTTATTACAGAGATGAAGGGGCTTAGGAGAAATTTTGCAAGAGATATCATTACCTTGAAATTACTTGGAAAATACAGGAGAGGAGTATCACAGCAGCTCTCCCCCTTGCCCACTGACGCAGTAATTACAGGGTGAGGATAATTGAATTTTAGAAAAACCCAAGGCCCAGCTATAGTCTCTTTCAGAGTGACAGGAAGAATCTGGCCTGGCTTCAGTGCTTGCTGTTTTACTCCCTCTCTACTCAGCACTGAAGAGCAAGCACCCTGCCGTGGAGCACCAGGTCCTTCTTGCCACCTGCTTTCCTTTCCTTAGCACTGTCTTCATGGGTGTGTCTCCCCAAGAACTGCATAGGGTGGGATGTTGTCTCCCTTCCCTTCACCAATTCAGAGCCTGGTATCAACTGGGGTATCAACCACTCACTGAGCTAGAACAGGAGCATGGATACTAACTGGGCACAGTTCTGCTAGAAGATCCTTCCTCTGGATCTGCCTGACCCAGGTGGCAGCTGGTTTAGCCATAAGGAAATAATCCTAATGTCTAGTGGAATAGAACAATGGGAATTCAGTGGGTGGTTTATTTTCTCAAGAAATTTGCATTTCCGAGGTCTGATATCCATCTCAATAGGCCCATTCCACAGCGGAAGAGACTCCTGGGACACTCCGGACACTCAGCACAAACATGAACATCAGTCCAGGCTTTGGGTTAACAGACAAGTCACTTTAGAAGTCGGACTATCGTTATTGGCAGCCTAGCCAAGGGAACCAACCTGGATCCATCTAGCTGGCTGGATTGGCCTACCGGCCCACATAAGAAATAGGTAAATAATGGAAAAAGGAAAGATGTAGCGGCTCCCTTTTCCTTTCTCCATGTTTCCCCATTCACAATACAGATGGGGCACAGGGCCTGGGCTAAGGTGTACATGGGGTAGGCTTATGCTGCCTCCTCTTTCTATATAATGAAAGGTGCACCTTTTTTTTCTTTCTTGGTACCTGCATTTGAATGCACTGAGCCACATCCTCAGCCCATTTTTTTTTTTTTTTTTTTAAATTTTGAGAAGTTGAGCTTGGCTTTGAACTTGCAGTTCTCCTGCCTCAGCCTTCTCAGTCACTGGAATTACAGGAGTGCACCACCATGCTGGGCAAAAGTTAATATTTTTAAAAAGTAGACAAAGGAAAATCGAGCAAGGTTTTTGTTTTTTAAAACATTTTTAAATTGGTGCTTTATAGTTGTACATAATCGTGGAGTTTGCAGTTACATATTCATACAAGCACATAGAATAACAATATAATTGGTCTATATCAAATGATCAAGATTGATCAAACTGCATAAATTTATTTTTTTTCTCATTATTCGCCTATTTCTTAAGCAGGCAGGAGAATCTGGCCAGCCAGAGAGATCTAGGCAACTTCCTTGACTTGGCTGTCAGTAACATTGTAGGGAAGTGGAGCAAAGTCTAGTTTGGTTATTTGGAACTTGAACAAAGCATTTTAGTTCTTTCGGTTGGTGGAGGTCTGCAGAAGAATTATAGTCTACTGGGTGCCCCCTCCTAGAGTACATTTCGGAATTTGGGACGAGAGAACCTTTTAGATCACTCAGCAGTGTTGGAATACATACATAGATGAAGTGAGGAACACTCTTTCTCCAGCAGCGTGGGATGGAGGCCAGATCGCGAGAGAGCGTTCCACAGGAGAGAAGGTAGAATGAGAGGTTTCAGGAGGGAGGAGCCTGTGGGGCCTCTATGAATCAGTGATGGAATTCAGGAGATGGCTGGAGAGAGCGGAGCGAG